TGATGGGCGGGGGATACAATCAAAAATGACAAGAATGATGCTTAGAAGGATACTCGGGCGCCCATGTCGAAGCTTTTCGAGCGGGTCTGGCAATTGCCAGGAGTTAAAGTTGGACAGAGGAGGCATGGATGCATGGGTACCCTTGGGAAAATGAACTATCCTTGCTGTCGGTTTCGACTGTATTACTTTATGCCACTCTCCGTCCGCGAAACCATGTCAGAGCAGCTAAAAAATTACGGAATGGAGGTTCCGCCTGTCGTTCAGGATCCATCAGCACCGAATGAGGAAACCCGCTCGAATTGGAATGTGCGTCGGGCGGGGCGGCCGGGCTGCACCGGCACGGACCCAGAATCGAATCGGATCGGAAGTCTCGATCGGATCGATACCGGACCGTTTCGATCGGATCGAAGTGAGCCTTCTCCAAGATCATTCGGCTTTCGGGCCCTCGGGCCTCTGGCGGCCGCTCGGGACGATCCGGGCACCCCCACAACACTCTCGGAGAGGCGCAGATGCGAGAGCCCATCCCAAGACAAGAAAACCTCAGACGTCCTTCCAAAATCGGGAGGAGAAGGAGAAGGATGGGGAGGTGGTGGAGGAGGAGGAGGACGAGAAGGAGCAGATGGGGAGAGCGACAGGGGCCAGCAAGGGAAGAATGCACAGTGGAAGGACAAGACGATCCAGGAGGAGAGCACCGACAGCAGCAACAAAAAAGAGGAGGAGGAGGAGGAGGAGGAGGAGGAGGAGGAGGAGGAGGAGGAGGAGGAGGAGGAGGAGGAGGAGGAGGAGGAGGAGGAGGAGGAGGAGGAGGAGGAGGAGGAGGAGGAGGAGGAGGAGGAGGAGGAGGAGGAGGAGGAGGAGGAGGAGGAGGAGGAGGAGGGAGGAGCGCACGTCCCTTTGCGGAGACGGTTCGTCACATGGGCGCCGGCGCGCCGCCGTGCAGGCACCGGCCCAGCCTCCGCGCAGCGCGGGCGGCCCTGAAGAGGTTCGGGTGTTGCTCGCAGCAGCCGGGGTCGATGCGGGAGGCGCCCACGGGCACGGGGTCGGCGTCCATCACGTCGACGGAGTGGTGCTGCACCGCAGCGCGGTCATACCTCAGGCGGTCCTCTCTTCACGCAGGGGGCACGGCACATCACAGGGTGGCTGGTGACCGAGTTGAGGATGCTGTTCTCGTCCGACGCGTCGTCTAGCGCTCCGAGGCCGTGCGCGTCAGCAGGTCGGGCGCCAGCGTGCCGCGAGGCATCGCGACGTGGCGCCAGGTACGGCGGCATACCATGTAGAGGGCCTGGTCGTCGGTCCCCGCAGGGCAGCCGAAGATGCGGAGGCGCTTGAGCGGCTGCACGTGCATCCTCAAGGTAGTCGGCCATCCTCCCGCGTACGTCTTCATGATGGGCCAGAGTCGCGACGGCGGCATCTTAGCAATCGTAGAGCGTACCTTGGCCGATTTGTTGTGGATCGCGAACGGTAGCTGGATGATGGCCATGTGGTCGTTGTAGTCGTCATCGTCATGCCAGATGGTTGACTTCTTTCGGTAGGGTCGTGTCGCTGTCATCGTTGATCTCGTCGGGGGGTCGGACCAGCTGGCGTCGGGCAAGGTGTTCTGCTCTCGCGGCTTCCAATAGTTGACCAACGTCTGGCGGCATGCGCAGCTGTTGGAAAAGCTGGGCCCGACGTCGCCAGACGTTGTCACCATCAAGCCAGGCGTCCGACGAATGCAGAGAGCCGTGTCTCTGAAGTGGAAATCGTGCCTGCCAGTGTACAGGATGCCATAGGATGAGGAGGAAGAGGAGGAAGAGGAGGAGGAGGAAGAGGAGGAGCGAACGTCGCTGCAGGGGGGCGACATCCATGACCCTACGCCCGGCGATCGCGTGCAATCCTGAGACAGCGCAGCACATGATCGGGGCCAGAGCCAGTCTGGTGGTGAAGCACACCATACAGTTGATGCAAGTCTGCTACTTGATCTACAGTATCCTCGAACGAGAATTCTGGGCTGTCTGGTCGGTATTCTGCTGCATCAACTAGCGCTAAAACATGCAGGACTGACTCATGGGCGCGGAACCGAGGCATGCAGATTGCCCACCGGGCCGACCTACATGTGATATAATGGCGGGGGAGGAGAAGGAGGAGGTGATTCCCTTTACTGGCTTCTCGCTGAGTTACTCTGCGCCTTGACACCTCGTCGTTTACCTGTGTTCTCGGCCCTACTTTCTTCCGCTCTAGCCTGCAGCCGTAATTCGTTGTCATTCGCAACTAAGTCGGAGTTTGTCTCGCAACTGTTTTTTGTTCACCATTGGAACGCTGCAACCTGCCGGTTGAAGTTCGCCTAACGCAAAAAAGGAGAAGGATGAGGAGCAGGAGTGAAGGGCGCCTGTTCTCTGCAGGCCTCTGGGTCCTCGCTGTGGTAGGGCAGGTCGCCCGCGCACAGGGCGTATAGGACGAGCCCGGCGCTCCACACGTCGGCGGGCTCCTCGCTCTCCTCACGACACAGCCATGCTACTTGCCATACAAGACGCAGAGGGAGGAACGAACCCTGAGATCCAGGCGCTGCGTTTTTTTACTGGGCGTTTTCGCTCGGCTTCGGGCAGCGGGACCATCACATGCAGATCGATCCGGCTCGAGAAATGCAGGGCTCCAGTCGTGATTTTCCGCGTTGTTGTAGCTCCCACCTCGCTTCGCTGTAGAAGCAGATATGAATGGCGAGGGCTTCACAATATGTTCGGTCTTCGACGGGTCCCGGGCCGTCGCTGGGGCCCTCGCCAGGCCCCATGGCCGTCAGTACAACGACGCAGGGCGAAAAGCCAACCCTGGGAAGGGGTCGGGACCTTCCGGGCGGCGTCAACGGAGAAGATCAAAACATCGCAAGTCTGGCAAAGCCTTCCCCCTGACCCATAACTATTCCTCCGTCCTCCTCCGTCCTCCTCCCACCTTGTCCCCTCTCCTCTTCCCTTCTCCCTTCTCCTCCTCCTCCTTATCCCTGGTTTTCCCTCCTCCTGCGCCTCGTCCTCGTCCTCATCCTCCTCCTCCCGCGCGCCCCTCCCTCCTCCTCAAACAATCATCGGGCTACGTACCGTACCCAGATCTCCAATGCTACGACTTTTTCAATCTGGGCGCTCTCATCAACTTGGGGCCCCGGGGCCCTTCTCATCGGGCCTGGGGCCACCAATAATAGCTCCGGGGCGCGAAAGACTGGCCCCTGGGAAGGGGTTTGGACCTCTGGCGCCACGGATTGAAAAAATCAGACCGGCGGATGTCTGGATTAGATACGGAGATCGTGCTGCGTGCCGAACGGAACGAGGGGGCTCGTGTGCCTGCTGCGAGCTTCGGCCACGAGTGGGTTCCCCGACCAAGAGCTGAGGCGCGGAGCGGAGACCTGGAGCCCCCTCTGAGCCTGGAGCGGTCCAAGAGGAGCGGGAGGCGGCACGAGCACAAGCTTCCAAGGAGGCCCGCGCGGACTTCTTGGGTCGGCGCTGGGTCCCCTCTCCCTCCCGCGCGGATCGCCCTCCCGAGGGAGGTGCAGCGCCGATCTGGCACTTCTTTCGGGCCGGGCGAACGGGGGGGGGGGAATAGCAAAGGGGGGGGGGAGAATCAGCTCACGTAGCTGACTTTCCCAGCACCTCCCTGCGCCGGGAGGCGCCCATGTATCGAGGAGTGGGCTCGGCGGCGGGGCCGAAACCACATGCAGCAGATTTCGTAACCCCCCTTTCCCTATCCCCCCCCTTTCGTTCGGCCCGAGTACAGCGCCGACCCAGCACTTCTCTCACCAGGCAGCAGCCAGGCGAAGATGACTGCACTTGCCCGCGGGCCGCGCGCATCTCCACAGCAAGCTTGCCGCGCTGGATATGCCACGGAGCGGCGCCTGGCCAGCGACGGCCACTGCACGAGGAGGAGGAGGAGGGAGGGGGAGGAAGAGGAAGGGAAGGGGGGGGAGGAGGGGGAAGAGGAGGGAAAGAAAGGGAGGGAAGGAGGGAAAGAGAGAAGAGGGAAGAGAGGAAAGGAGGGGGAGGGGTAGGAAGAGGAAGGAAAGGAGGAGGAGGAGAAGGAGGAGGAGGGGGAGGAGGAGAAGGATGAGTATGTGACACTGGCGCAAGAGAAGTCAGAGAAAGTGAGATGGAGAAAAACGAGGTGCGGCTATCGGAGAGGAGCGTTTTGTCACCACTGTGGGGGGCGACATCCCACAGTGGGCCAGCGACAAGCCACACCCCGAACGAAGAGGCAAGCAAACGCAGCGAACATGACCCAGAGGACGGGGAAACGTCAGGGCGAAACGGTTGCATTTGAACCACGATTCATTCCTCACCTGCAGCTAGAAACGCTAGCTAATGTGCCAAGGATGCCAAGGAAGGCCTCTGGCGAAGTTGTTGCACGAGGCGAGCTTGGAACCCAAGATGAAGCCAATCTCCCCTGGGGTCCCGGGCACTTTGAAGGAGTGGTAGACACTGCAGACTAGGTCAAGCCAACAGAAGACAGACGTCAATTGGTCAGTGGGGAGTGGCAACAAGTGGAAAAGCATAGCACGCAATCGACCATCGGAGGAGGCGAGAAAGGCAGGAGGGAGGCGAGGAAGGAGCGGGAAGGAGCGATCTTCAACGACAGGACATTCAAGAATGTGCAAGAGGGTGTCACCTGCTAGAGCGGTATGGCAAATTAGACACGGCTTCGTGCGACCACGCAACCGGCCAGAGGTGCACCATGCATTCATTCAGGTATGAAGGGCGGACGCCATGACAGCATTCCGAACTTCCGAGGCCATCCTCCGATGCGCCCTCAAAAGCGAGTCCAATTCAAGCTCGCCGGCGGGGGCCCAATGCCGCATCCTAGCCGCGAAAGTCGGACGAGGACTGACAAACGCCATGCCCTTCAAAAATCACAGCGTCACCTCCTGCAGCGAGGGAGTACCGACGGAAGGGGCACTAGGAATCTGAGACACGACGCGCAGGTTGCTATCCAGCCTCGCGTAAACCGAATTCTTCTACCACGGATGCCGACGATACAACTATACAGTCGTCGTCGCCATCGAATCCCTCCAGGAGATTCTGGGCAGAGGCGAAGGCGGAGGACGAGATGGCAACGCGATAGGCGGCGGCACGGCTAACCAAGCCAAAACGGAGGGCACTGACAGGGAGGTAGAGGGAGGAGAGAGAACACAGGAGGTATTGACTGTAAGCGTTGCGAAGCCCATTCGTGAGCAACTGTAGACCTTCGGACTCCGCGCGGGCCGTGTGGGGGGTGGGGGGTAGGGGGCGTAAAGCTGAGCTATGTCTTGCAAACAAGATAATGCAAACACATGATATCAAGAAACGGCCTTCACGAGCACAAGCAGGAGTCCACGGATGTCCCAGACACGCTGCACGAACTGGCCCAGTCCAGGACGAAGAGGAGGCACCTGGTCCGAGAAAGACGCCGAGTCTTTTTTCAGCATCCGCGAGGATGAAGCACGAGAAGGTAAAACCACGACGCTCCAGCTCCTGCAAGACTTCACTCCTGGCAGGGCTCCTGGGCAGCACAATCTGGGTCCCAGCCTCTTTCAAGTCGAGTCCAGCGGCACGCTGGGCGACGAGGAACACAAGAAGGGAGGCTTCCAGGACGTCGTAGACAGAAGCCCCTCCAACACCGACGTCATCGGCGAACGCCCCCACGACAGAAAGATGACGAGGTAGGCGCGAACCAGGAAGGCGAAACATGGGGGTCAAACCAGAGGGCGAACACAGACCCACTGAGAGGACACCCCATGTTTGATACCCCTGGAGATGAGGAACCAAAACTGCTCGTTCCCCTTGAAGGATACAGTAACCCAGCAGTCCGTACACATGAGCCGAACTGCATTCCTGAGCCTCTGAGGCACGCCAGTGGACTCTGGGACCCAGAACATGTGGGAGTGGAGCATGCTGGGGAAGGCGGCAGCCACGTCGTAGAAGACGAACCCAACATCCAGCATGTGTTTTTGAACGGACCAATGCAAGACGTGGGCCTCTAGAGAGGCGATGTTGTCGATGAGAGAGCGTCCAAGGATGAACCCTCGCTGCACTGTGGAGCAACACAGCTGGCAGACGTACCGCAAAGCCTTGTTCGGGGCCAGGCTGATCAACTTATTGTCCGAATTGGATATCGAGATCGGTCTCCTGGCGGACTCCGCTCGAAATGACGCCAGAGTGCCATTCACGTAATCCGTAGGCAGGTCACCTTTGGCCAAGAAGACAACTAGAACGCGGTTAAAGCCAGGGCCTACCGTGAGGGATGTGAACAAAGCCTAATAGACCAGGAACAGAGACCACAACGAAGTATTCCCAGGTTTCGTCCAACCGGAATCTACTAGCCCGTCGAGGCAAGGACTGGAGTTACGGGCGCGGTTGAACATGGAAACAAACTCGTCAAACCCCATCTCCCACTGAACTGGGCAAACGAGATGAGGGAGATGCGGAAGAAGCTCGCGTCGGGCTTCGGGGTCAAACGGCACGGCAGAATGCACGGCACCCCAATGATCAGCCAATCGCCGAGCAACTTCTGATGGATCATCAATACGTTCGCCGCTAGGGTCGGCCAAGCCCGAGAGAACGATGCGACGACATGACAACCCCCACGCACAAGAGAAGTCGCACAATCTGGCACGCTTCCGAGACTTGGTAGCGGCAGGCATCGCGACATCGTCGTCAAGTTCACGAACCTGCAGATCGAGGGGTCCTCTCTGAAGTACAGAACAATTGGAGTGAATTCCCAACATATCAAACCACGAGCAACTTGGAACATCAGCGAAGCGAGCCAATGCAGGATACGCACGACAAGCTCGGTCAGCAATGCCCCGTCGGCCCTCGTCAACCCCATGAAAAGCAGCCAAACTCCACGAAATCTTCTCGGGCACCGTGGCGGCGCCATGGTGTTCGAGCTCACGCATGAGACGGCGGCCCGCTAGCCGAATGACCCCTTTCGTCTCCCTCAGGCGCTCAAAGGGCTCATCCGAGAGGGGATCCAGAGACCCGAAAAGTTCCTTGCACACGTTGTGGAAACGGCTATGCTGGGCAGCCCACCGAGGTACCTTGAAAACCCGCTGGGGGCCCTTAGGACGAAGATGAAGGGCGACGGGGACATGATCAGACAGCTCGGCCAAATCCGTGGGGCAACCTATCGTGATGGAGTGGCGCTGAACATGCTCGTGTGTATTCGGTCCAGGCGTGCTGCCGAAGATACATTGTCTCCCGGGACGACGCGGTGAGTGGGCAAGGGCTGGTCCACTTCGCCGAACTAAGAAAACAGATTTCCACAGATTTCCCCAGAACTTCCCGGCAAACGAGGCCATCCAACTGCACTCTCTTTTCCCCCTGAACGTTGAAATTGATGTCCCCGACCAGGTAGGTGAGGGCGCGGGTCTGGGAGAAACACGCGGACCGAATACGGGCAAAGAAACCCTGCTGCGCAGAAACGGACACGCAAGGATCGTTGTGCATATTGATGACAGACAAAGTCCCTTTTGCTCTTTTCAAGACCAGCCGGTGCGCACGTCCCCCAGAAATTCACGGGCGAAGAACGGTATGAAATAAACTGTCTAGCTGTCGGGGGCGCCTGTCCCAGGGCGACTGGGAAGCTTATACCCTTACGATGACGCGTCAAGGTAAAACTTTCCAGCCGCCCTGAGGCAGGCGCCCCCGACAGCGAAACAGTTTATGTTATAACACCGTTCTTCGCCTGCTAAAGAAATAATGGCATGGCGGTGCCGAGAAAAGTGTCGACGAAGTGCAGGATGCACAAACGTGATGCATCCTCCAGAGTTCTCCTGCTCGTGAAAAGTGCCGAAACCAAGACAATCGTGGATCTCCTTAAAAATAAAAGGAAGGTCGAAATTGGAACCGTGAGCTTCCTGCACACAAACAATGCTGTGGCGTTGTGCAAGGCTTTTGAGATTAGCGATTTTTTGTTCGCGTGTCTTGTCAAGAGGACTCCAGGGCGCACCGAAGAGGCCGTGGGCGTTCCACGTGACAACCGAGAAAGGGTCAGCATGGAAGAACGAGAAGGACAAGTCGGAGATGCGGTAGTCGAGTTCGCTCACGTCGGAGTGCGAATCAGAGTCGGAAGTGGAAGAAGAAAACGACGAATAACCAGAAGAAGAAGCGGAAGACAACGAGGAAGCAGAAGCACGCATGTAGCGCCGGCATCCCAGGGCCAACACCCCACTCTCATACGGAGTAGCCGTCGGAGACGTACACGCTACCAGAATGCCAGACGACGTCGCCCGCACCGAAGGAGAAGAAGAAGCAGGCAGCATAGAACCATCTCGGCGAATTAAACCATCAGCAAAAAGGACCCCCTTGTAGCCACTGCAGCCCATGGTCCATCCTTCACGCCACTAATGGTTCTGCCGGCGGGCATCCGACAGCGAACTCCACATGCGGCCGAACACCTTGTGCCGACCACGCACCTCAGCGCTGGCATCCTGGCGCCCCGGCATGGGGACGACAGTGCGGGAGCGCGTGTCGTTCTACGTCGGAGCATGCGCCTTGGAGTAGGTGATGCACCTCGACGCGACCTCGGTGCCACGGAAGCGGAGGCAGTAGCTCTGGATCGAGTCGAAGGCGATGATCTCGGTGCCGTTGCGGAGGTCGGCGTCCAGGCTGGCGAGCAGGGCCTCAGCATCTCGAGTGAGTTGGCGCTGGTGCATTGTTGATTGAACGAGTGAAGCCGCCGACTCAGACCTTGGTCTTGTCAGCTTCGGTCCAACGGTTGCGCTGCAGACCCTGCTGCACCGAACCGCCGCCGGGAGGGGCGCCCGTACGCCGCCACGCAGTGCCACCCACGGGAGCCGCAGGGGCAGGCGGCCACAGGGCGGCCGGCTTCTCCTCGATCTTGGCCTCCAGGCGGGCCTCAGGGTGAGAGATTGTGCCGCTGGACCGGGCCTGCTGGAGGGACTCCCGCGAGGCAACCTCCATCGCATTCAGCCTCGTGGTAAGCGAGGCGATGGACCGTTCGTGGGTGCCCAGGTGGCGCTGGAGGCTGCGCTGGCCCTCACCCCAGTCGTTCTTCATGGCACGCAGGAAGTTCATGGCGTCTAGGTTGGTGGGCTGCTCGACAGGCGCAGGGGGCACGCCCGGAGGCCCAGCAGGAGCCCCAAGGGCAGCGGGTGCGACATTCCCGCGACTGCTACTGCCACCGGAGGGAGCAGTAGAGGAGCCAGGGCTGACAGCGGCTGAAGCTGCTCAGCGGGCTCGCGCTCCCGTCCCCACGGAGGAGGAGGAGGAGGAGGAGGAGGAGGAGGAGGAGGAGGAGGAGGAGGAGGATGCGAGGCGTAGGAGGAGGAGGAGGAGGAGGGAGGAGGAGGAGGAGGAGGAGGAGGAGGAGGAGGAGGAGGATGCGAGGCGTAGGAGGCGGAGGATGAGGAGAAGGAGGAGGAGGAGGAGGAGGAGGAGGAGGAGGAGGGAGGGGGCGCCGATCCAAGAGATCCGAGTGGACCTCCGAAAGCTTATGCTCATGCAGTTCCCCACTCGACAAGTTGGGGTTGCTACACTTGTGAAAAGAATTCTGACCCGTCTCGCACACCCTGCATACCACGTGCTGGCGCTCAATGGATCTCCTGCCTCGTGGCTTCGACGAGCGACGGCTGCATGCTTCGTCCGCCAGGCCCAACGTTTTCCGGTGCTCCCTGGATATCATGCCTCGCGTTCTGGGGTGGGGATCAGTCGAAGCACAATCTGTCACCGCCCCATGTCTTCTCGACGCACCCAAGTGGGCGACGCCGACACCACGGCAAACCCACGGCAAGCCCCGCGCAACGCGCCCCAAGCAGGCGAGGCCGCCACGCGGCGAACGCCACGGCGAGGCCACCGCGCACGAGGTGGCGCTTGCCCTGGTGCCCGCGGCGCCCCCTCCAAGACGCCAGGTCGCGCGTCGGAACAAACGGCGCGGCGACATCTCTGTTTTCGACGAGGAGGAGGAGGAGGAGGAGGAGGAGGAGGAGGAGGAGGAGGAAAGAGGAGGGGAACGAGGAGGAGGAGGAGGATCCTGGCCCAAATCTCCTGTTCGGGGCGGCGGCTGCCCGGTCCGGGCGCCTCCCCTCTCAGGGGCACCGACGGGTGGGGGGGGGCGAGCTGGCTCGAGGGGGGGGAAGCATCTCCGGCTCCTCGCCCCTCAGCCGCTCGGGGGCCGCGAACTCGACCGCGTACCCGCCCCCGTCGCTGGAACGGCCCTCCCCATGGATCTCGCAGGTGCCGAAGTCCGACAGCATCGCGCGCGGTGCGGCCTCGCGGCTGGCGTGCTCGCCCACGACCTCTGGAGGCTTCCCAAGCCGGGTCCGAGCCCATGGGGTCGGAGGATCTCGCCGCATCGCCGATGCATCGGCGCCGCTGGCCTGGAGAAGATCTGGCTCCACACGGAGCTGCATCGCCGATGCCATAGCGATGCGGCTCGATCCTTCAACCCCATCTGCTGGAGCCCTTCGGGAGACCTCGTCGATGTGCAGCAGGATGTTCGAGGGCTTCAGGTCCCGGTGCAAGATCCCGCGGCTGTGCAGGTGGGCCAGCCCGCAACACACGTCCAGGAAGAGGCGCCAGATGAGGTCCTCGCTGAGGAATGCTGCCTTCTCCGCGTTGCCCGTCGCGCCACGGACGAAGCCGGCGGGCCAGATCAGGCTCTCCATGGAGCCAGCGTTGCAGTACTCCATGAGGATGAAAAGGAAGGGCACGTAGGGGCAGAACTCCGAGTGCCTACTCACCTTGAGCCAAGGTGTTTTTGTTGGAGGGGGGGGAGGCCGATCCACTCGTCACTAGGCCCACCGCGGGCTTCAAGAATATAGCATGAAGCGGTACGAATCAAACCACAAAACGTATTCGCGCCAGGGGGAGAGGATAGTCTCTAGGCAATCTCCAGCACCTCGAGCCAAGAGTGCTTGTAGTCCACTATGTTCATGTGCCGCAGCCGCTCAAGGGCTTTTACCTCGCGGACGACTTGGCGCAACCTCTTTGTGTCGTCCCCCAGGGCCAACTTCTTCACCGCGAAGATACCCAGGTCGATGCCGTCCATCACGTGCCTGCAGAGATACACCGCCCCGAACGAGCCAGCACCTAGCTTGCGCTCCTCTATGGGAAAGCGGCATGTTTCATCCAAACGGATCTCTTGTATCTGTGCTGGCCCATCCCTCCCTGGCACGCGGAGCGCGTCGGGGGCGGCGCCGGAGGCGCCGCCACGGGGTCCCAGAGCAGATCCAACGAATCGGCGCGGAGCTGCGAAAGTTTGAGCTTAAGCAGTTTGTCATTCTTCGCTCCTCGGCGAAGAAACGCGCGTAGTACCCACAGTTCAGGACCCCCGCAGGGATGCTGTGGAGCGAGCACGCGGCCGCAGCCTCCTCGTTGCTGGAGAAGCAGCCCGCAGCCGCAGCGGACTCGGCCGCGGCCTCTGCTGTTGGCGGCGCCCGCAAGGGGGTGGCGCGAGGGGAGTGAGCTTCGCAGAAGGCAGGAGCCTTCTTGGAATAGCCTGCCGGCATCTGAGGATGTCTCCTAAAAGCCGCGAGGGCGTCTCGGAAGCCCCCTTGCCTTTCTAGAGGCCCCGCCGCCTTCTTGGAAGCCCACCCCACCCGCGCCGCCGCCTTGTGGGCGCCGCCGACGTGGTCGCACTCGGCAACACCTGAGCGATCACATCGAAGTAGCCCTCCACAACAAAGGACCAGGAGGGGCTCAGCACCTGCCGGCAGAGGGGGCACAGGCTGAGCCGGGAGCGCGCGATGGCGCCCGCCTGCTCCTCGGTCAGCTTCCTTCGGGTGCGTCGAGTGTGTGGTGACTACCTACCAGACCACCCCAACCCAACCCGAAGACCCGAATTCGACCCGAATTTCGGGTTGGGGGGGGTACGGGTTCCATGTGTTTTTTCAACGTTCCCAGACCCCCCCCTACTGGAAATGGAGGGCAAATTGAGGCCTTCGGGTTGGGTTGGGGTGGTTTGGTAGGTGGTGATGTGGGGGCTCGCTGTCGGGAGCTCCTGCTCCGCGCGTCGCGGCGGCGGGCCCGGCGACACGCCGTGCCCGGCAAGCGGATGGCGCGTCGCTCCGCTCCGCGGGGCCAGGGGCCCAGGAAAGGCTCGGGACGCTGACGCTCAGGTCAGGGGGACGTAAGACCTGGGTACAGGGGACTCGGAAATCCCCGACGAGGTCGTCGCAAAAATGACGAGGCCGAGCCTGCATTTTGACGAGGCCTCCCGCTGCAGACATCCCACGAAACTCCTCCTCGTCAAAATCCGAGGCGCGGTCGTCAAAAAACGATGGCGAACCCGAGTCCTGGCAAACCCGGGTCTTACGCTCCCCCGATCAGGGACTGGTACGTGGTCAGCGTGTCAAGCCGAAGCGCGGTGGGCCAGAACCGGCGGCGCGACACACTAAGCAAGACTTCCCGACAGTAGCGCATCGTGGCCCCAGGCACGTCCGCGTGAGATGGGGGGCCAGGGGACGTGATGAGAGAAGAGGATGGGGCAACATGTCGGGGAGGTCCTATGGCCCCAGCAATGGTATACCCTCCTAAAGCGAAAGCAAGATCGGGATAAAGTCGGATCGGGGTACTTCGGGAGTCTCTGAGATCGGGCGGCTCTGAGGGAGGTATCGTGCGCCGCGGCGTTCTCAGAACGTTCCGGAACGCTTTGAGAGCGTGCCACCGTGGCCTGGAGCGATTTATCCCGATCCTGGACCTGATTTACTCCCCCTAATCTTCATCCCCCCCTTCGACACCCCGGATGTCCTGGAGAAGGCGCGGTTGTGCTGGCGGTCGTACAGCACCAGCTCTCGCTTCTGGTCGGCGGTTCAAAGATGGGGGCCCTGAGGGACCATGCCCAAGGATAGGAAAGGATCCCAGGCTGAATTTGCACTAACTGAGGCCCCTCCCCAGAGATCCAATATCTTGATTTTTGCACGGGGTCCCCCGAAGTCTCGATCCCTTCCCAGGGACACTCTGTTCGTCCCAATCCGTTTCTTTGACGGCCCCGGGACCCAGCAAAGGCCCCCAAAGGTCGACAACGGAGAAAAGGCTCCGTCTTGATTTTGTTCAATACGTTTGAGGTCTGGGTCGTTCGCAGGGCCCCATCTGGCGTTCGGGTCATCGGCTCTCCGGCGGCCGTTCGGGACGTTCTGGGCACCCTGGGAACGCCCTCGGCGATGGGGCTAGGTGAGAAGAATCGGTCAAGAAAGGGGGGACGAGGGAGAATCCGCTCAACATCGACCCCAGATCCCTCCCAGGGTCGAAACTGACACGTTTTTCGAGCCGCGTCCAGCGCCGTGGCGACGAGGGGGCTCCCTTCTCCCCCGCTACTCTTGGCCGGAGCCAATGCTGGGCCACTTCAGCCCCCCCTGCTGGCTCCAACCCTATACATGTGATGTCCTGCTTGTTCCAGCACGGGATCCTCAGAAGTCCCGACCCTTTCCCCGGGACCGCTGCTTCATGCCGAATAGTTGTTTGACGGCCCCGGGGCCCGGCGAGGGCCCCTGGAGGCCAAAGCCGGCGAAAAACCTCCAGTCGTGAGTTTGGGCGCCCGAGTTATCCGGGGTAACTCGGGTCCGGGGTAACTCGGGTTTGGATTCCCGAAAAAGGAACCCGAATTAGCCTTGACCCGAGTTACCCCTGATGATTCGGGGCTCTGGACGCCCGAGTTATCCGGGGTAACTCGGGTCCGGGGTAACTCGGGTTTGGATTCCCGAAAAACGAACCCGAGTTATCCCTGACGCGAGTTACCCCTGATGATTCGGGGCTCTGATGAGTTGTGACCTGGGCCTCGTCTTCGAACCGCCGGTCTGGTACAACACCAGCTGCAGCTGCTCCGCCGCGTGGCCGTGCAGGTCCGCGTGCGCCGCGGGGTGCGCCCTGCCCAGGGGCTCCTCCGCGCCCGCCGAGCCCGCCGAGGCCGCGCCCGCCGCCACCCCCGCGAGCTGCGTCCAGGCTTGCCCTGGCGTGGTGCTGCGACAGGGAGGCACTGGCAACGACGGGGGGAGGTTCGCGGGTCGAAGTTTTCGCGCGTTTTCGCTGGTTCTCCGCGGCTTCCCAGCCTTGGGATGCCTTCCAGCGGCTGCGCCTCGCCGAGAGCGTTCCAGGGACCCCAAGATCGTCCTGATCGGCCGCCGGAGGCCCGAGTTGTGACCCGAAAACATCCTTGTGACTGGCATTGGGGGGGGAAACGTCGGCCTGGAATCGGCGATATATCGCCGATAGATCGGCGATAGTCCCCCGATAGCCAACTCCGCACGTTCCTGGACTGGGTGGGGCTATCAGGCCGCTATCGGCGATCGAAGCGTCCCCCCCCATGCCTATTCCTACCTATCGTTGCCCCTGACCTGGGCCGCCCGGGCGCGCCAGCGGCAGGGCTGGGAGGGAGAAGCCGTGTGCCATTCCGCTCGTGGGCGGTTGAAGCCATGCGCTGCCAGGGCAAGAAGGTCAGTGTATAGCGGCTGCGCTTGGCCTGGCGCTTGCGGTTGTCTGCCGCGATGTACTTTGACCAACTTGCACTGGCAACAGCAGTCATGGGAGGAGGCGACAAAAACATTCCCTGGGATTCTGGCGCTGCGATTTGTGGTCGCAACGGCGATGTTGACTTGTGCCCTTCGGCCGTAGGCCGTCTTGGGTGTTTTGTCTTCCGGCTGCTCCTCTTTCCCTCCAGGGAGGGGTTCACCCCTCCTCTTTCCTCTTTCCTCTTTCCCTGGACCTGGACGGGGCCGGTCGCGACGTGTCAGGGCGTCCAAAACGGCCTCGGCGAGGAAGCCAACATCACTGGTTGTACTACAATGTTTGGCACCATTTTGGCCTCTGGGGGGGGGGGGGCACCGCTAATTATAGCTCCCCTCTTGTTTGATCGATGTCCTTCAAGATGGCTCAAAGAGCGCTCCAAGGCTCCCAAGAGCGCTTCAAGAGGTTCCCAAGGAGGCGCCCAGGAGGCACCAGGAGGCCCCAAGAGGCGCCCAAGAGGTTTCCAAGAGGCTCCCAAGAGATCCCCAAGAGGCCCCAAGAAGCTCCCCGAGGCAACCAAAACGCTCCAAGAGGCCTCCGGGACAGCCGAGAGGCCTCCAAGACGCTCCAAGAGGCCTCCACTGGGGGACCGTTACTCTGCGTGCTGCCCTCTTCCCTGATCGAGGCAACTCTTCTGGGCATCGTTTCTGGATGGGCTGGTGGGGTTACACGAAGCGTCTAGAATGTGCTCGAAGGGTTTCAGGGCTCCAGACGTGATTTGTTGTTGCAATTCAATGGGAGCATCGGTCCTCGGGAGTAAACGATCCCTAACAAATGAAGCAGGTTTATCTCCCGCGTTTGTTACCTCTTGGGGTCCTCGCCGGGCCCAGGGATTGCCAAACAACAACTCAGGATGAAAAGCCCCCGAACAGGTCAAGACCTGCGGCTCAGAAGCATGAGCTGTCGGACGCAAGCGCAGGTTCTGCCGGGTCGTACGGAAAGAAGGGGTTAGGAAAGGGAGGGGGGATCAGCTCAGGTATAGCTGATGTTTCCAACCTTCCCCGGCGACGGAAGCGCCAATCGAGGAATGCGCTTGGCGGCGAGGCCTACACGCCAGGGCGTGATCTTCTCCCAGACATGGCGCTGCAGGAGCCCCCCCAAGATCGAAGCCCTCCGACAGGCGCCCAACGCTGCTGACCTCGGGGGGCGGCGAGGTCCGATCGGAGTTGACGCTGAAGTGAACGTCCTCGCCGCGCGGGCTGCTGACGTGGACGTCGAGGTCGACGTCTGGCCCGATCGCCCCATGATCTCCCCGGGGAAGATGGTCCACTGGGGGCCCTCAGGCCAGCGAGCGCGGGCTTCGCCACGCCGCGCCCTTCACCCGCCATGGACCCCAACTCCGTCTCGGGGCTCTTGGCAGGCAGCGGGGCTGTCGGGAGCTCGAAGCGCACCCTGCTCCATCCTGTCTTTGGGCGGGCCTGGCGAACCTCGCCGAGGGGGCTCACTGGACCGCCACAGGGGGCGCCTGCACGGGGGGGCGACCGAGCGCCTTGCCCCGGCTCCGGCGTCGGAGCCCTGCATGGAATCGGGCTCGCCGTGCAAGAGGAGGCGGAACTGCCGTCGCGCGACCTGCCTCCTGCCAACTGGACGAAGCAAAAGGGCACTCCTGCGGCGGCCCAAACGGGCCCCCGAAGCGGTCAGCTGGGAGCACTTGCCCTCGAGCCGCGTCGCCTGGTATACCTGGTCGCGCGCCGAGCCCTTGAGCGCAGAGGCAGACCGCGGCACAGCGCGGCCCGGAGTCCTCGAAGAAGAGCGCGGTCGGCTAGGACCGGGCGGCGGCGTGGCAGTTGTTCACCGCCAGCGGGCGCATGCCACTCTTCAAGGCAAAGCCGACCTTGACAGCCTCGCAGGGACGATCGTCCTACATTCGATCTCAAACTCGGACTCCTGACCCAGCATCTCGACCACTCCAGCTGCAACGCAAAGCCCAGCGTCGCCAGTCGCAACGCGACGGTGGTGGCGCTGGCGGCAGCACCTCCTTCCCCAACAGATCACGCGCCCGAAGAGC